CTCAAATATATTCGAATCCAAATATGCGAATAGTGAAGATCCTGAATGTCCGGCTATTCGAAATGATTGGCACAACCGAACTTTTTCGGAGTAATCTAGCTATCCGAATATTTCATTCAAACATAATATTCGATTTCAATCATATTCGGATTTCACAGGCGTTCGGACAAACGAATATTGGATGATTTTGCAAACATTGAAGATGGGATATTATTTGGATCTTAGTTTCAACTATTCGAACTCGAATAGAATGTAGACGTTTCGAAATTCCCGACTATTCGAATTATCAAATAAGTGCATCATTATAAATGTTCGACTTTTCATTCCAGCACCAGTCTCGGTATCAGCTATATGCAGCATAGCATAGATGAATATGGTGTGCATAAGTGCGAATAGAGCACCCTCAATCCGATGTACTGCATGGTCCTGCCTAATAGTATCTTCAGGATGTAGCTTATCTATGGGAAATCAGGCTACTACATAAGTCGTGGTAATTAAATCCTTCAAAATTCACTAAATAGAATTACGGTTGCATCCGTTGTGATGTAAATTAATCGCAAGGGAAGAGGAACTTAGGTACCCGTGATATTCGCTGTAGCTGGCGCAGTGCCTGCAAGGCACGTTCATACTGTAATGCGCTCATTATCCCGCGATGATCATACGGATACATAGCTACGATAGCTCCTTCCCACAGCGGATTATTCCATGCTTACTGCCAAAGAACGCTACAAACATTTGGGATATACATTGCCAAGCCCCGCCCTCCAACCCGAGCAACTTTGGCACCTTGCCTAGTGCTTAAAATTGCCCAAATCACTTAATTAGTAGCGATAGCAGGAAAAATTTACAAGAACTAAATGAGGCGTTAAGCAAAAAATAAATATGAATTTTTTGGATTTAAATTACTAGGCTGGGTTATTTCTTAAGATTGTGTTTCAAAACGCCATGTGTAGACTCAAAGATTATTAGATCGAAGATGTGGAATTACTTACAATGACAAAAAAATTATGAAGCAAGATTTCCTTACAATAGAAAATTTTCCTCAGCAAAACAGTGTAACAAGAAGTTTTTTAAACCTCTAATTCGTGAGCGATAGGAAAAAATAATTTACTTCAAAAGCAAAGCAAAAATTTTTGATTTTTTTTAAACTTTGATGAATTTCAGTAATACTATAACTGCTTCTAAATGGTTCTCCGCAAAAAGGATCAAGCACGATGTAATAAGATAAATGAAACCATGGATGAATTTGAGGAAGTGTTTGATAGTGTTACCCATTTAAATACGAATTCAGCAGCAAGATGCCGCAGCGGGTTACAGAGAAGACAATCTAGCAGCAATGTGAAATAAATTGTAAAGATATACATTACTCAGAACATATATAAGCGTTTTTTGTCACTAAAACAAGCAGCATAGCACCTTTTTGTATCAATCCGAAAGAATCGATATGAAGTGTTGACCTTTTACAAATAAATATATCCGCTAGGCACATCTGCGGGTTAGGTTTCAACTTGCGAGACAGTAGTTTTTTTATTCGTTTCTCAAAAGCTAAAACTTTTGCTGCATTTCTCAGCAATCATTCGAAGAAAAAGAAAGTACGTCTGCTTGTTATAGGTGAGCTACTCTCCAGCATGACAGTAAACAACAAAAACA